CAGTATACACACACACAGTATATACACACACAGTATACACAGAGTATACACACACACAGTATACACACACACATTATATACACACACACAGTATACACACACAGTATACACACACACAGTGTATGCACACACAGTATACACACACACAGTACACACACACAGAGTATACACACTGTATACATACACACAGTATACACACACACAGTATACATACACACAGTGTATACACAGTATACACACACACAGTTTACACATGGGCGAATATTTGACATAGGATGACTACGTTAACGATGATGTTGACAATAATAATAATAATCTGTAAAATAATTAAATAATGCCCATACATCTCTAAAATAATAATTATATCTGTAAAAACTATGCGTTATATTAAATCAGATTACTATTGTAATAAAAGGACTCGAACACTTCTTTCTGTCTTCGTGTCTTTATTCAGGTTCACGTCTTTACCCACACGGCACTCTGTTATAACTCCTGTATTTGTAGCCCCCGGCTATTCACTGCTATTATAGCTTCCTCTCCCCTCTGACTCTCTGCTTCATCTACTGTAACCTCCTCCCTGCAGACTCGCTGCTACCCCTATGCAGACTCCCGCTGCTACCCCTATGTGCAGACCCTCTGGCTGTCACTGTATGCAGACCCGCTGCCCACTCTCTCTGTGCAGCCCCGCTGCTGACTGCAGCCTCCTCGCTGCTTCGGGTCGGTCACCGCTGGCCAACGGTGCCGATCCTCGCTCCCCCCGTGTTCGTGGCGATCTCGCCACACCCTGCTTCGCCCTTCGTGGCCTTCCTCTGTTCCTGGTTCCCCGTCACTCCTCTTGCTCTTCCGGTTCCCCTCCTTCTATATCAACCCCTCTGACCCCCACGTGACCTAACTCCTCCCCCCCTGACGGCACCTCAGAAGGGCCGTTTACAACCGCATTACATCACCCTCCCCCCTAAAGAAAATCCAGCCGACCTCGGCTGAATTGCAACCTGAAAAGCAATGCGGGTGTAAAGGGCCAACACGCAAAAAGACACGAAGCATTGAAGACATTATAACAATAACACAACACAACACAATCTAACGAAACGTGAGGGATTTCGAGCGAGTACGGGTAGCCGGGCCGTCCCGGACGGTCGGCGGCCCACCCGCCGAGCGGGAACGTGGAAGGGTTTTAGGGGCGACGGGCGCAAGTTCTTCCGTCGCCATTGGAGGCCCGCCACTGTCCCGCTCGCGTCCAGAAACATCCCGTACTCGCGTCCGCGGAGGGATAGGAAGAGCTGCAGGTCCCGTGGGTTCTGCGGCTCCGGTCGGCGTCCCACAAGCGGAAGGTCCTCCTCCCTGCGGTGTCACGGCCGGCTTGTCTGTGCCGGAGGGTCTTTCTTTGGGGCGTCCGCAATCGAGGCCTCCTGCTGGGGTGGCCCCGGAACCCGGGCCCAGCAGTCCCTGGCATAGTGGCCCCGACGGCCGCAGCGGAAACAGTCGACGTCGGGTCGGCGCGCAGCAGGCCCCCCGTCCCGACATGGCCGCGCCGGCGGCGGAGCCCGCGGCCCCGGCCCGCTTCGAGCCGGCCACGGAGTGGAGGCGGCCGACAGCTCCTTTGGGCCGGTCGCATCCGGCACGTACACGACCTTTGTAGGGTCCCACCCTACGGCCCCCCCATCGACGACAGGACCGCCCGTCCACGCCGTGACTTGTTTCCAGCGGCGGAGATTGAACTGGGCGTCCAAACACTTGGCCACGGTCCGGGACGTGAGTTTCTCGTGACCGCACGCCGGCATAGGAATGCCCAGATCCCGGGATAACTCCAACATCTTCCCCAAGATGAGAGGTTCCAGCAGGTCAGGCTCCGTGTCCGGGTAAGCGGCCATCGCGAGTTCCAGCACGGCGCCCCTGTACGCTACAGGCGACTCCTCCGGTGCGCGTTGCCGCTGCACGAAGCGGCGATGGGCGTCATCCGGTGGCTCGTACGCGTCCGCCATTTCGTCGAACACTCCACGCAATGTTTTCTTCTTCGCAGCTTTTATAGAGCGAAAAAAAACGAACAGACTCATCGTCAAGGAGAGTCGGAAGCACCTCCAGCGCCTCGGCGTCCGTCCACCTTGCCGTTCGTACCGCCGCCAAAAATCGACAAGCGAACGCACTCCAATCGCCCCCGATGGAGAACTCCTTAACAGTTGTAAGGTGACGACTGCGGCTCCTTGGCCTGCTTCCGTCCGTCACCGACTCTTCCGGCGGCAAGTTCAGCAAGGCGTCGCAACGCGGTGTCGCCAAGATGGCGGACGATCCTCGTGGCGGCCCCAAAATGGCGGCTTCCCGCCTTCCGTGGTGCGCCACGCCCAAGATGGCGTCTTCACGCCGCGTGGCCGATGGCGGCGCCATCGAAGACGACCCGGGCTCCTGCCGATCACCACCATCACCTTCCAACGCCGCCCTTGGCGTGACAAGGTCACACAACTCCGTGATGACGGTTTTTAGGGTCGCCAGTTGCTCCGCCATCCGGGTCCATCTTAAATCTTCGTCCTTCAACGCAGATGGGTCAGACGCAGCGGCAACCTCCTCCACACCCGGGCCCTCACGGATCTCTCCCTCCGCCGAAGTGAAGCCGACCTCAGGAGGAAGATTGTCGTCGTCCGATGATGAAGCCGACGCCGGAGATGGGATATTCTTCTTCCTCAGTTGTTTCGCCATGCCGTTTCACTTCTGACTCCAGTGTAATAAAAGGACTCGAACACTTCTTTCTGTCTTCGTGTCTTTATTCAGGTTCACGTCTTTACCCACACGGCACTCTGTTATAACTCCTGTATTTGTAGCCCCCGGCTATTCACTGCTATTATAGCTTCCTCTCCCCTCTGACTCTCTGCTTCATCTACTGTAACCTCCTCCCTGCAGACTCGCTGCTACCCCTATGCAGACTCCCGCTGCTACCCCTATGTGCAGACCCTCTGGCTGTCACTGTATGCAGACCCGCTGCCCACTCTCTCTGTGCAGCCCCGCTGCTGACTGCAGCCTCCTCGCTGCTTCGGGTCGGTCACCGCTGGCCAACGGTGCCGATCCTCGCTCCCCCCGTGTTCGTGGCGATCTCGCCACACCCTGCTTCGCCCTTCGTGGCCTTCCTCTGTTCCTGGTTCCCCGTCACTCCTCTTGCTCTTCCGGTTCCCCTCCTTCTATATCAACCCCTCTGACCCCCACGTGACCTAACTCCTCCCCCCCTGACGGCACCTCAGAAGGGCCGTTTACAACCGCATTACACTATGACAAATCCCTCCTTAGGGATACATATTAAGAACAACGCATTGGTTTGCAACACTACGTGTCAAAAATATGTGCTTTAAAATGTGAATAATCTATAGTAATTGTAAACAGGCGCGTTTCTTTAATTAATAGAGGTTATTACATTTTAGGTAAGCCTAATATTTACAAATAAAACAGAACACGTGATTTATTTGAATGTGTGTGTCTGTAGGCTTGGGTACCTGGTGCAGTGAGTAAACATTCGGCGTCGGGGAGACAAAGGCGGCCGGGCGTGGTTCTGGCCACCCACCACCTCGTGTGGCGGTGCCGCCTTAATAGGTGCTCGCGAACAACACTTGCCCAACAGGCTACACGGGGGATCTTTGTCTTTGTATCATACAATTCAACCTCTGATTGAAAGCTTTCGTGACTGCAGGGATTCATATTCTTGGTTCTTTCGGTAAAGTCACGTAGAAGGGAAATAAACAAAATATAAAACTATAAAACATAAAAGATAAAACTATAAAACATTAAAATATAAAACTATAAAAAACAATAAAACATTTTAATTGTTTTTAATTGTTTTATCATCATCAACATCAACAATAAAATGTTTAATTGTTTAATATTTTTATTATTTTATTATTTCCCTTCTACGTGACTTTACCGAAATAACCAAGAATATGATTCAATCTCTGTTGACTTCCGAAATCCTTACCGAGTCTCAACGCTCGTTATCAAGAGGACCCCAGCTACTGCTGCAGCTACATTGATTTCTATTTATTTGGTCCGTTCGCTCTCATTGCACGAGGATCAACACCGGATTGCAAAACCCCTCCACCGCGCGTGCGAGGAGTTCACGCGCAAAGCCCCGCGCAGATGGATTCAACAATCCACGACCCACTTTGGAGGAACAGCGAAACGACACGAACTCTCTCTGTGTGGGTGCTGAAGCCCTTTTGTACGTGGCCAGCAGCACTAGCAGCAGCAACAACATCAGGAGCTCAACATTGGCACCGAGCTCCTGAACAATAGTGCCATCATACGCAAGAATAGAATTAATTGTACCATGAGGAGCATGGGGCTATAATTCTAGATTTGAAGCTTTCGTGACTGCATCGAATTCATATTCTTAGGTTTTTCGGTAAAGTCACGTAGGTAAAAAATTTACATTAAAATGTATTTTTTTAAAAATCACGACGTTTCGGAGGCAACACAAGCTTCCGTCTTCAGGTGCAACCGTCACAGCACGATAGCTGTATCAAGTAAATAACATAGGGCTATAGTTTGAGGGTGGAACCAGCAACAAGCAGCAGCAGCAGCAAGTGGAACAGTGGCTATTATTCTTAAATCCTTTATATTAAGTTCACTTGCTTGCTTGTTTGCGCGCTTACGACCGTGCAAATCTTTCGGTCGTTTTTTAACCCACTTCCCGTGATCCAATCGAGCTGACATTTTGCACAACAGACTCGTTGTGCGTGACAATTTATTTTCGTGAAAAAAAATTTCAAAAATTTTCCACTTTTTAGAATTTTTTTTTTTTATATTTAATTTAAAATACCAATGTGATAAAAATGAAACTCTTACTCAAGAAAAACAGAAATGCATAATAAAATAAAACCGATGCCACGCATATTAAGGATTTATAGTGAAAAAATTTGTTTTTACGCGTTAATTTTTTAACCGTACCCACGTCAAGCCTCGAGGTGGTGATGCCTTAGCTCGGTCAGCTCGGGGATGGGGGGGGGGGGTCGAAGGCGTCTCACCTGGATGCGATCCTCCGGCAGCTCGGTTTTCAGTGCCAGCATCTCCCTGGCGTACACGTCCGGGTAGTGTGCGTCGTTGAATGCCTTCTCCAGCTCCTCCAGCTGGTAGGACGTGAAGATTGTCCTGCAGGCGGGAAGGAGTCGCGGATGAGTTTCTGATTTTAACGTTGAGGATTTTCGGGTTGTGTTTGCTCCTTCCGACCCCCTTACTGCCGAGGCCGATATAACCTCGTGCCACGACAGATCTCGCGCCTACTTCAACACTATACACTACACTATACACTACACACCTATACACTACACACCTATACACTACACACCTATACACTACACTATACACTACACTATACACTACACACCTATACACTACACACCTATACACTACACTATATACTACACTATACACTACACTATACACTACACTATACACTACTATACACTACTATATACACTACTATATACACTACACTATACACTACACTATACACTACACTATACACTACACACCTATACACTACACTATACACTACACTAGTATACACTACACTACTATACACTACAATACACTGCAATACACTACACTATACACTACACTACTATACACTACACTACTATACACTACACTATACACTACACTATACATGCCGAACCCTGACCCCCCCCCCCCCCCCAGACGGAGCGGAGAATCGCGCGTCCTGTAGAGTGGCTCCTCAAAAGAAGATTGAGAGAGAGAGAGAAAAAAAAAACATTTTTATACAAATTTAAAATCTCGCCCTTCTCAAGTCCTAACATTGAACAGCGCCGTGCAGAGAAATGCTGCTGCCTTCGTTGACGGCTGCGTCTCCATCTGGGTCACGCGCCAGGCAGTCCCGGGTCCAGTGCCGTACTGCAGTGCAGCTACTAACTCCCTCCTCACCTCACCCTGGACTCCACCACCCCGCCAGGCCGAGTGGGTGACAGTGAATATCACTACAGATCGTCGTAGTCGACACGCTGGTCCCTCTACAGACCACGTGACATCGTCAATCTACACAATGGGAACTCTACAGACCACGTGACATCGTCAATCTACACAATGGGAACTCTACATACCACGTGACATTCTTAGTCTACACAATGGGAACTCTACAGATCACGTGACATCGTCAGTCTACACAATGGGAACTCTACAGACCACGTGACATCGTCAGTCTACACAATGGGAACTCTACAGATCACGTGACATTCTTAGTCTACACAATGGGAACTCTACAGACCACGTGACATTGTTAGTCTACACAATGGGAACTCTACATACCACGTGACATTCTTAGTCTACACAATGGGAATTCTACAGATCACGTGACATCGTTAGTCTACACAACGGGACCTCTGCAGGTCCACGTGGATTCGAGATCACACGCCGTAGGGTATAGATACAGGACATCGCATTGCATGTCAAAAATTAAAGTGAGTGGGCTTGGGCAGTACGCGTCGTGGTTAGAAGGGATGATGATGATGATAGCCGATGGTCAGGCCTGGATACGGAATGAGAGCCAAACGAGTGAACGCGCCCGCGAGGACGTCCACCATGAAGATGGAGATGATTAGACATTATCTCTTTGGTTCTTTTCGGTTAAGTCACGTCTAAAAATAAAATAATAAATTAAAATAACATATTACGACGTTTCGATTGCAACACAAGCAATCATCATCATATACCTGATGATGATTGCTTGTGTTGACGTGACTTAACCGAAAAGAACCAAAGAGTAATTCCTGCAGTCACGAAAGCTCCTAAATTAAGATTAGACATTATCTCACACGCAGGAGAGAGACGGACTGGCGGTATCCATCAGCGACACTGTCATGGGGGGAAGCCATCATCACCCAGCAGCGGATAGAGCGTGTCTGCTGCTGCTGATGATGATGATGATGTCCGATGATTCGCGGCGTCACCTGTGCCGTCGCTTCTTCCGCCGCTTCGCCTCGCGGGGGGCGTCCCTCTCCGTGGCCGCGCCGCCGTCGCTGCAGATCTCGTCTCCCTCTGCCGTGGTGGGGGTGGGGGTGGGGGGGCACACATAGACACAACAGATAAAGATCCCCCGTGTAGCCTACACAGGCGGCAGGGGGAGGGGGATGCAAGTGCTGTTTGCGAGCAACCTGTGAAGGCCAAATACGGCGCGCGAACGGGGGGTGGGTGACCAACACCGCACCCGGCCGCCTTTGTCTCCCCACCGCACCGGGTGCTCATTTAAGGTTGGGGGGAAGAGACCAAGACCGGTTAAGATGTTCGTCACCGATGTTGGCCGTGAGCGGGAATCGAGTTCAGGACGCCCGGTTCGTCGCGCAGCGTAGCGCTGACCACCGCGACACCGCTCCCCGTACACACAACAACAACAACCGCCACTACGCGTGTGCCATGCCAGGTGCACTTTGAGGCCAGGTGAAGTGTTGAAGGCCTGCTGATAGGAGGCCACGGAATAGAACCAGGTGCCATGCTAAGCAAAAACAAGTGCATGCAGACACGGAGATAACTACATGAACACGCGCGGTTTGTAATGGACCCTGGTGCTAGGAATTAAATGTGGCCCTTTTGTTCGCGGTCCCTTCCCCATAAGGGCCTAGCGACCCGCGAGCCGCGGGTCCAGTTGCACCGCCTGCACACTCGATAGCTACGCCAAGCGTCAGTCCAGCGACATTGCATCGACTACCAAGAATACTAAAGTGTGCGCGCTTGGGCAGGAGGACGCGTCGCGGCTAGAACATGACGAGCGACGGCCTAGTGGTCGAGACGTGCAACGGAGTGGCAGCCAACGGAGGGAAAGGCGCCCGAGATTGCGTCCGCACCGCGCGCCGATGACCCAGCGATGGGATTGTTCCATGGCGAGACCACGTGACGAGGGCAAAGAGTTGAGGAGGTCTTCGTCCATCCAGCGGTGGATAGAACGTGGCTACTGCCGCTGCTGATGATGGCGAACGCGTGAACGGTGGCGACGCGTCGACACTGACGGCATTTTGTTTGCGCGTTGCGATTCGCTCTGCCTGTGTCTCGATAGCGCCGCGGGGATACAAAATAAAACGCGTGCACATGTTGTGACGCGTGTCGTGACGCGTGTCGTGACGCGTGCATGTGTGTCGAACTTCTTTCGCACCGTGCGTAGCCGACCGCACTGACAAACACTAAACACAACAACAAGCATCCATAACAGAGGTTTTGTTGGGTTAGATCGCGTAAATATGTGTCGTTAAACCCGCCACCATCAAACACAGCCGATTAGTAAGCGGTTTGTCACGTCAACAAAACGTGCCAATTCGTTAAGAGTTCACCACACCGGTGTCGTTGGAGAGTAAGACCCACCGCAACATTTAACAATTCGAGTGCCGTGACGATTCGCCGACGTTTCGCCAACAACAACAACAACAAAGCACGTAGAAGGGAAATAATAAAATAATAAAAATAAAACAATAAAATAATTCTCACGACGTTTCGGCCACAACGCAAGCAGCCGTCCTCAGGTGTAGAACAGGTCTGTCGGAAAGACAGCGTCTGAATGAGACGCTGTCTTTCCGACAGACCTGTTCTTCACCTGAGCTGTTCTTCACCTGAGCACGGCTGCTTGAGTTGTGGCCGAAACGTCGTGAGAATTATTTTATTATGTTTAATTTTTATTATTTTATTATTTCCCTTCTACGTGACTTTACCGAAAGAACCAACAACAACAACGAAGCAGTTCAGGAACAAGCCCCGTACATTGCCCGATCATTTTGTGCCCAAGTCGCGGCGAGACGTCGCCGCAGCTCGCAAGGTTTGCGGCTGCGATTGGGCGCGCAAGCAAATCGGATGGCAATCATCGGATGGCAATCATTCGTGAAACGCCGCACGGCTCCGTCCGTTGCGTGAGCCCTCGACCAGGTGCCTAACCTGTAAGCGCCGCGCTTCTGCGGACGTCTGGAACGCTCTCTCCTCCGATAGTGGGAAGCCACTGGAGTTATGCACTTTAAAATCTAAATTTCTTTAGATTTTTGTGTTTGTTGTCCTTCGCCCGAACCTCCGATGAGCAGGGTTGGCTACATACGGTGCGAAAGAAGTTCAACACACATACACACATACCAGCATCCCGTGTATAGTATGTGTATATATGTCTGTGTGTATGTACGTGTTGTTCAGGGGAGCGGTGGTGTAGCGATTAGCGCGCTGCGTTATGAACCCGGCGACACGGGTTCGATTTCCGCTCACGGCCAACACCAGTGACGATTATCTGAACCGGTCCCGGGCCTCCCCTAGGTCGACTCAGCCTAAATTAGTATCTGGTGCGATGTGTAAACATCGCCACTGGGGAGACAAAGGCGGTCGGGCGTGGTGCTGGCCACCTACCCCCTCGTGTACCATTCCGGCCTTCATAGGTGCTCGCTAACAGCACTTGCCCCAACAGTCTGCTGAGGCTATACGGGGATCTTTGTCTTCGTATTGAGGGAGTGAGAGAGCTGATCACCACCACCACCACTATAACCCTGCCACCCCAACCACAACCACTCATCCTATCCTTACAGTCTGTTCAGGCTATACGGGGGATCTTTTTTTTTGCTTTATTGTTCCGCCCGTCGAAACGCGTTTTCTGTCTACGTGTATACTATATACAGCACTTGGCCATGCTACCAGAGCTATGGACCGCGCAGTAAACCCACTGCGGTCTTCGCTCCTGCAACGGAGGAGGTGAAAAGAGCGACGCGACACGAACTCTCTCTCTCTCTGCTGAGGCCCTCGCGTCGTGACGAGCAGCAGCAGCAGCAGATCTCGACTTTGGCCTCGGGCTCCTGAACATGTTGCTGCTGCCCATACTGGACGTCTGACGAACAAGAGCTTCATAGCTCATCGGATTCCTCGAGTATAAATCAAGATTATGTTTCTGATACGCTAAAAATATATATATTTGTATTTGGCTATATGTGTTGGGTTTTCTCGCATAAGGGCAGTTGGCCGAAACGATTATATTATTGCTTTACTATAAGTGGCAGTATGAAAGCCTAAATAATATATTCAGTTCAATTGTAATTTATGCATATTATTACAGAAACAGCAAAAATGATACTATTTGTATGTATATAAGTAAGTGTATGTATGATATATATTAACACATGTGTTTATTCGCATGAGAATACTGTATATGTTTAAACTGTGTGTGTGCACTCGTTTGTGTACTTGCTCCGAAAGTCTGTTAAGGCTATACGGGGGGTATTTGTCTTTGTCTTGTAAATGAGTGTATGTGTCTTCGTATATAACTACCTATATATATGCATGCCGAGATGTATGTATGTCAAATGACAATATGTATGTGTATATGTGGATGTCTATGTATGTATGTCTGGGGAGCGGTGGTGTAGCGGTTAGCGTGCTGCGCTATGAACCCGGCTACCCGAGTTCGATTCCCGCTCACGGCCAACACCAGTGGCGATTATCTGAACCGGTCCCGGGCCTCCCCTAGGTCGACTCAGCCTCAAATGAGTACGCGGTGTGTAAACATCGCCACTGGTGAGACAAAGGCGGTCGGGCGTGGTGCTGGCCACCCACCCCCTCGTGTACCGTTCTGGCCTTCATAGGTGCTTGCTAACAGCACTTGCCCCTACAGTCTGTTAAGGCTATATGGGGAGTCTTTATCTTTATATGTTTAACTTATTTTGCACCGTGCTAATCGGAGGGGTCTATGTATGTGGGGAGTGATAATGTAGCGGTTAGTGCGCTGCGCGGCGACCCGAGTTTGATTCCAGCTAACAGTACAACATTTGTGACACATAGCTGAACCAGTGCTTGGATCTCTCCTAGAGCGACTCAACCTTAAAATGAGTACCGGGTGCGGTGTAAAAAAAAACCCCATCAGCATTGGGGAGACAAAGGCGGCCGGGCGTGGTGCTTAGCCATCAACCAACGGGTCCAGTGCCGGCCTTAATAGGTGCTCGCTAACAGCACTTGCTCCAACAGTCTGTCAAAAGCTTTATTGGAGTAGGGGTCTTTGTCTATAAGTATGTGTGTGTAGGTGTGTACGCCACTAGACCGTATACATTGGGCAATACCAAAGTTAATAACAAGCCTCTTGATTATTTACAATATATTCTGTATTTTACCGGAATATTGTGAGGAGCGGTGGTACGGTGGTTAGCGCACAGGGCTATAAGGCCAACGGCGACTTGGCATTCGATTCGCGGCCACGGCTAACATCAGTGGCGAGTTGCATCTGAACCGGTCATGAGGAGCATCTCCCCACTTGCCCAGCGTGGTGAAGTATGGTCAAACAGCTCCGACAACCGACACGGGAAGAAACATTCATCTAGCAGTGGATTGACCAAGGGCTATATATTATTATTATTAGTTATTTATAGTAATTTATAGCCGACTCAGCGCAATTGTAATGTGTACGTGCGTGTGTGTTTGTGTGTGCTATTTCGACTCATCCTTAAATGTGTACCCGGTGCAGTGTGTGGATATCAGCACTGGGAGACAAAGCGGCCGGGCGTGGTGCTTAGTCGCAAGCCACCCCCTCGTGTACTATGCCTGCCTTACTTAATAGGTGCTCGCTAACAGCTCCTGAAGGCTATACGGATGATCTTTGTATTTCTATTCGTACTGGATGTACTGTTTTGCACGTGTGTGTTTGCTATGAAGTGTATTCGTTTGAGATGTGTCAGATTTACCGATATGTATGGATGAATGAAAATGTAGGTAATTATTTTACAAATGTATTCAATTATAAAAAAAACCTAATTTAATGAACCAATGTTTGAGGCTTTTGTGTGTTAATAAAAATAGCCACTCGTCTAGATATATGTAAAAGATGTCATATATATAATAAACTCGTGTGCGTGTGCTGCAGTGGGTCGCAGGACCGTGAGGGATTGGCGACGGCTCGGGAGGCCTCCATCCAGCAGTGGATTGAGCACGGATGACGATGACGACGGCGATGCTGATAATGATGATGTTTATCACATTTATACGTAGAAAAAATTATATATATGCGACATTTCCATGTTAATAAAAACAGACAGACACGACATCATCACATCGGCCTCGGCGATTTTGCTGCGTCGCTGGTGGCGATGTCGGAAAAAAACCCAAATCGGACGTAAAGAAAACATTCGGCAGCGTTACACACGAATTGGTCCCACGTGGAGAAAAAGGACCGGTCCGTTATGATGCACCCCCCCTCCCCTCCGTCCCCACTGACATTATCATCTTAACGACTATCGAGATATGATTTTAAAAATATTAATTTGGTGATGCTGCTGCTGCTAGTGCGTTGGCAAGTGGTTGTGCACAATTAACAACAACAACAACACTTGAGACGTTATTTAATTGTCTTGAAGAAGGGCCATTGCCGTAAACGTCGCCTATTATGATGAAATGCGCCACTTTACAAATGTAAATTATTATCAATATTATAAATATTGATGGTGTTGAACCATATCGCGAGAGCAGAATGTGAATAACGCACGGCCGTTGTGCGTATGTACACACATTTTTCGATTAAAGCCACAATGCTATTGTCGAATTTTTATCATTTAAAAAAATATATCCACTGAATAGCAATTGGCCGATACATTTGCAAATTATAATATCAAGAATTTAGAGACATTTTGCCAATCCAACGCGGGATTGAACGTCTCTTCCACACCGTTTCGTTCTCGTTGGGGATGGTTGACCACACCTGACCACCATCACCACCACCATCACCACCACCACCATCACCACCATCACCACCACCACCACCATTACCACCACCATCACCACCACCATCACATCACCACCACTATCACCATCACCACCATCACCACCATCACCACCACTACCACCACCATCGCCGGTGTTCGCCGTCGCCGGAAAATCGATGTCAGATGAGAGTGGTTCATTTCACAGCGCAATGGGCGAGTCTCGAATCACACCGCACCGAGGCTTTTACCGCCGGTTGTGTAACGTTAAAACCACACACAGACACACAAAGGGGTGAATTATTAAGGTGTGAGGCCTTCGGATCGCCTTCGACGTCGTACTCCGAGGTCAACGCTCATTGGGGGCGATCGCGCTGTGTTTCAGTGCAGCTCCCAAAGCATCGGAATAATAAAACAATCCGAATCGTTAAGTCCCTTTAACACGTGGTAGGCTAATCGCGACCAATATCATCGATAATACAGGTTTTTTTGGGGGTTAGATCGCGTAAGTATGGCACGCAAACATGTTACGTAAGCACGTTACGTGACAGACCTTACTAAATTGGCTGTGTCGGGTGGTGGCGGATTTAACGACGCATTTATATATTTACGCGATCTAACCAAAAAAAAACAACCTGTGTTGTGGTCGTTAAGTCCGTCTTGAATACTCGCCTCTTTAACCCGACCGCCCAGGTCTCGCCGTGTAGCCCTGTGCAGGTTCCGTGTATTTCCCGGCTTCCCATACACGGCGGTGGCGTATTGGTGCGATCATCGGATGAAATTCGCCACTTTACAAATGTAAATTATTATAATTATAAATTTGATAAATACCCATGTAGTTGAACCTTATCGCGAGAGAGCAAATGGCGAATAACGCACGACCGTTGCGCGTATTTACACACACACACACGCATCTTTCGTGTTCGTAATATCCGATTCCCCCACGTCAACATTCGCGTCTCGATTAAGCGACATTCTCCAAGGACTCGAAATATAAATCGGGCACGTGTAGTCGAGTCTATGCGTTGTCGGTCCTACGAGCTATATACTTGCTGCGTGCCATCGTGAAGCCACGCAGAGTCTCCCTTGCACGGAGACCGCTTGTAATAACCCCCACGAGCTCTTACGTATTTTAAATAATGTTTGTATGTATGTCGAAACTTTTTTCGTACCCTACGTTGCCAGCCGCGCTAATCGGAGGTGCGGGGAAGGACTGCGAACGAAATACAAAAAGCAATTCTAAAGAAATAGAGATTTCAATCTCGATTTGAAAGTGCATAGCTCCAGTGGCTTACTAATATCCACAGGAAGAGTGTACCGTCTGGAACGCTTTCGCATCCTCTTCCTTTCAATATTCGGAAGCCATTGAAGCCGATGCACTATCATATCATCTTGATTGAAAACTCGATAAGGTATCCGTTCTCTAAGTCTTTGCCCGTTTCTATGTTGACACGATTGCACGTACAGATGACAGGGTCATCCTGAAGTTCTTCTACATTTGTCTAGAAATGAACGCTTTGCGCACGGTACAATCCTCCTCGTCGGTTGACCGAGTAATCCGCCTCCCGTGACGTGTGACGCTAAAGCCGATAAAAAGCGGCGATATTCCATTGGAATTCGTTGCTCAAAATGAGGTACGAAAAACATCTATATGTATACGTTGCCGTCTCAGTGAACCTATATTGTAATTATGAGTATTTGGATAATAAGTACTGCATTATAATTGTAATTCGCGTGTTAATTCACTGCCGGACGAAAGCCTCCCCACGTCAAATTTGGTTAAACTAAAATATTGAAACTATTTATTTTGTATTTTACCAGGCCCACTGAGCTATGTAGCTCTTTTCCAGAAGCGACCTGGCCACAAATGATTGGCCATGGATGTGGCTTATCGTGTAGACATTTATAGCAGCCAAATACTCTAAACGAACGTTTTTCTAAATTTGGAATGGAAAATCAGACGACCTGGAGAAAAATCCACGGATAGAGAGAGAGAAAATGTTAACTCCAAATATACAGCAGCAGCAGGCGTCAGGGTCGAGATCGAACCCACGACCTCCTGTATACCAGGCGAGGTAGTTAACATCTCGGCTCCACGGCGCACCCCCGTAATGTGTTTTGACCATACTTCACCAGGCGTGTCAGCGATGGGTTCGAACACACACAAGACAAATGCAGTGAGTTAAAATTGTCACAAAGATAAAAAAACGAGATCTCTGAAAAAGGCCAATCGCTCTAAACGTCTAAGTCTTTCCTCTCGGCGACATTAAAAATATTCCCCGATATTATTGTTCAACGTTGACCTACTGTTATTCGTTATGATGTATTTATAACGTGATGAATTGTGAACTAAAACCATTTGTTACGATGTACACATATACATACAATTAAACATTCTTGTGCGAGTGAAAAAATTACTCGTTTGAATTGATCAACTGTCCTGCAGTCAAGTCACGGTTAACTTGCCGCACGGCATTAACGATGATGATAGCGATGATCGTGACAATATTGTTACTTTTACATTTTACTTATCAAAACACACACACACACATTCCAGCCGAGTCTCTATCAGACGCGTTGGGGTACACGAGAGAGTGGGTGGTGGTTAGCGCCACGCCTGGCCGCTTTTGTCTCTCCAGTGCTGATGTTGATTTCACACCGCAACGAGATACCCAGTTAAGGCTGAGCAGACCTACCGGTGGAGTCCTGAGGCCGATTCAAATGTAGCGCAGTGTGCTAACCACTATGCCCCAGCGTCCCCTTCCCTCCCACACACGCTTCATCACACATCAGCCATTCTTAGAGATGTATTGCAACTTTTAAATGTGGCACATTTCAGTCACGATACTTGCATACTCTTCACTACTCCAGCCACCACTAATACCAAACTTCCATTAATACATTAAACTCGCAATATACATACGACAACTCTACTCGGTCTCGCTCATGAAAGTTATTCATAATTGTTTGAAACGCAACGAGAAACTGGGAAGACTCGGGGTGGACGCCAATGGGGGCTCATTTCCGACATCACCCGGGATCAATGGGCTCCATCTCGTATCACATCTCGGATTCTGATTAGCGTCGAGCCGTATCTTGATGAGCGGACCACCGTGCACTCCAAGTTGCCACAGGCATCGGCTTGCAGCCTAACACACGCGGCGTGCAAACAGAAGGCAGAGCGGCACAGCCGATCTACGGCTTCCCACGGCGACACACCAGAGGTCGCAACCGGGTACCCGATACTCGTACCCTACCCGATACCCGGCTACCCGTACCCGGTCAGGTACGGGTACGGGTACCCGTTTGCGACCCTGGTGCGGCCGGGTACGGGTAGGCCGTGAGTCACTGGTGAGTCACCGTTTGTCACTCATTTCGGGTAGGGTACGGGTAGGGAACGGGTACCCATTTGCGACCCTGGTGCGGCCGGGTACGGGTAAGGAATCAAAACCCGTTTGCGACCTCTGCTACACACCGCACGGCCTTGACTCAACCCACCGCTGTCCGTGGTGCTGAAGTTCTAACTCGCACGAGCTGCTACGGCGTGCTGAGAGCGGGGTGGGGGGGGGGGCGACCCTTATTCATCCAGCAGTGGATTGGCGAAACGGGGCTTTACATGGCCATAGCGTTTCGTCTGTATGTTTGTCCGTCAATTAATATATAACAATGTTGTGGCTTGGCTCTCCGACACACCGGCGTGCTGGACTAGTGACGAATTGGCCACGTTCTGTTTACGTGACAACCCTTGCTAGTTGGCTGTGTCGGGTGGTGGCGGGTTTAACGACACAACATTTATATATTTACGCGATCTAACCCAAAAACACCTGTGTTGTGGATGATATTGGTCGCGAAAGCCTACGTGTTAAACTAATATAACTCTCTCTCTCTCTGTCTGTGTCTCTGTGTCTGTGTCTCTGTGTGTGTGTCTCACCCGAGCTCTGCTCGTTGCCGCTGTCGGCTAAAGCCGGCGCCGATCCCGACCCAACGCAGCCGCCCTGAGCCGCCCCGGGCACCTGCAAGCGGCCGGCCGCGGCCCCCATCGAGGCCTCGCGGGGTTCGGCCAGTGCCGACAGGAAATTGGCCACGGGCTGCGGGTAGAGGGACGCCGCGAGCGCCGTGGATACTTGGACGCCCAAGACTCCGGGCGTGATGAAGGCGCGCTGCTCTGACTGCTGATGCTGATGATGGTGCTGCTGCTGCAGAAGGTGGTGGTGCTGGTGATGATTGTGGTGGTGGTGATGGTGGTGGTTGTGATGGTTGTTGTTGGTGTTGTTCTGGCGCGGCGGGGATGGAGAATCGCGGCCCAGACCCAACAGCTCCTGAATGGCGAACCCCGTAGATTTGGGCATCGAGTTTGGTGCTCGCTTCGCATCACGATTCTCCCGGGATGATGCGGCCACCGATCCGGCCACCGGTGCCGCGGTCGCTTTGTCCGACTGGGCCGGGGGGCCCTTCCCCCCCTCCATGAGCTCGCGGGGTCCCCTCTCTTGGAGAGACCTCGCCGGGACCATCCAGGCCTCCCCAATATGCATGCACACGGGGCCGCGTGCCCAACCAGTGCGAACGGGGACTCCGGCTCGACGGGGAGACGCGAGCGGGGAGGGAGAGGGGGGGTGAAGTTAAGAGAGATCAGGTTCGAGTTTCGTTCCGGTTACAGGTTCGGTTCAGTTTAAGTTACGCTCGCGTTCGGTTTCTGTTCGGATAGTTCCAGCTATGTTTTGGTTACGTTCGGTTCGGTTCTGCACGGTGAGGTGTCGGCGGGGTTGCAGTTCGGTTGGGTTCCGTCGACTCGGTTCGGGTAGATTGGTGGGTTCGGTTCCGCGAAGGTCGGTTGAGTGCGCGTTCGTTTTATGTTCGGTTCGGAGGCTAAGTCACGATACGATTTCAATGCAGACACGAGAGATTTCGGGTTTGGAGTTAAGTTCGTTGAGGTTCGCTTTGGTTGAGTTTGGTTCGGTTTCTGATCCGGCTACGCTGGGTTCGCCTACAGCTCCGGTTTGACTCGCTCAGCAGCTGCCGGCCGCCCGCGTGAACGACTCAAAGAGAAATGAAGAGATTGTGAGCTGCGTGTGCGAGACGCAACATGCCTCTACTCTCTCTCTATCTCTCCCTCTATCTAATAATCTCTCTACATGTGCATCTCCCACCCTCTGTGTGTGTGTCTATTCACTCTCCCGTCCTCCCTTGTCTGAGCTGTTTTTATGCGCGGGCGTGAGATGGCTGGTGCGGAACTCCGCGCTGCCAGAACTCGCATCTCCTCCTCCTCCAATCTCCGCCTCCCATCTCCACCCCCCCAACTCTCCCTCCCATCTCCACCCCCCATCTCTCCCTCCCATCTCACACTCCTCCCATTCCCTCCCCCCCACCAACCCCATGCGTAATGTCGGCGGAGATATGGCGTCCATCTCGCGCTATTACTTCCTAAAAATGCACAAAGACAAATCTCCCCTATAGCCGTAACAGATTTTTGGGGAAAGTGCTGTTAGCGAGCGCCTATGAAGGCCGTTACGGTGCGCGATGGGGTGGGTGGGCAACACCACGCCCGGACACCTTTGTCTCCTCTGTGCTGATGTTTACACATTGTAGCAGGTAAACATTTGAGGCTGAGTCTACATAGGGGAGGCCCACGACCGGTTCAGATAATCATCACTGGTGTTGGCCATGAGCAGGAATCGAACTCGGGTCGCTGGGTTCATCGCACAGCGTGCTAACCGCTACATGGCCGCTACCCACCACACATATAAAACACATGCACGCAGACACATTCCCAACACATTAATCAATAACACTTGATTTTATATGCTATGAAGAAGGGCAATTGACCGAAACGTCACCTATCATATATGTTCCTTTTAAGGTCACAGTGTTATTGAGGGACGCGTTTGGTCACGCGTGTATGTAGGTTTGTTATCACACACAAAGGCAAACACCTCTGGTATAGCCGTGTTAGACTTGATGACTATTGCAAATTCTTTAGGCGAGCATCTCCTAAGGCCCGACACACCAACACACGAGCCAAAGATCCCCCGTATAGACTTCACGTAGGCTGCTGAGACATGCTGCTCGCGGTTACTATGGAAGCCGGAACGGCGGATGAGGGGGTACTTATTTAAGGCTGAGTCGACCAAAGGGTGACCCGGGACCAGTGATGATATCGTTCGTTTCTGACACTAGCTGTGCTCGGGAAGTCGAACGATGCTTGCCGGATTCGTAGCGCAGTGCGCTAACTGCTGTGCCACCGCTCCCTCCCCACACATTAAAGCCTGACGCGCACACACACACACAAATATTCCCCCGTATAGCCTTTAATAGATAGTTGTGGTAAGTACTGTTAGCGAGCACCTAGTAAGGTCAGCATCACGCCCATACGCCTTTGTCTCCCCAGTGCTCATGTTTGCTACACACCGCATCAGCTACTCATTTGAGACTGAGTCAACATGGGGGAGTGGGGGGGGGGACACAGCTGATTCAGAGAATCGTCACTGATATGAGCAGTAAGCGTGAATCGGACGCAAGCCGCTGGGTTTGTAGCGCAGTGCGCTAACCGCTGCGCCACCGCTCACCTGACACACAAGGACATACGCAACACACACACACACGTGTATTCGCGAGCACGTGCGCGTGTGTGTGTGTGTGTGTGCGCTAGGTCGACTCAGCCTCAAATGAGTACCTGGTGCGATGTGTAAACATCGCCGCTAGGGAGACAAAGGCGGCCGGGCGTGGTGTTGGCCACCCACCCCCTCGTGTGCCGTGCCGGCCTTTATAGGTGCTCGCTAACAGTACTTGCCCCTACAGTCTGTTAAGGCTGTACGGGGGATCTTTGTCTTTGTGTGCGTGCTGAAGGACGCAGGTCAAACGTGCAAACACACAAAGGCGCGTTTGCTATTTCAATCAATTTCGTCTTGTGACGGATAACAAATATTTGGGTTTATATTTAATATTCTCAACTATGTGGTAAAAAATTACACGACAGCACGTGCGCGCGAATAAGTACACGTTCGTTATAAGCATGACGTATTACAGAATTGTACCTCGTGGACAATCCCTTGCGACGGGACGTTTCGTTGTGCAAGGGTATCCAAAGGCAAAACCCCCCGTATAGCCTTAACAGACTTTTGGGGAAAGTGTTGTGAGCGAGCACCTATGAAGGCCGGCACGGCACACGAGGGGTTGGGTGGACAGCAACACGCCCGGCCGCCTTTGTCTCCCTCGTGGCGATGTTTACACATCGCACAAGGTGCTCATTTTAGGTTGAATAGACCTAGGGGACGCCCACGAACAGGTTAAGATATTCGCCACTGTTATTGGTCGTGAGCGGGAATCGAACTCGGGTCTACTGGACACCTGTGGAACGACTGGACATGTGTGAAGAAGAGCTTCATAGCTCATCGGATTCCTCCAGTGAAAATACATATTCTGGGTCGCCACGTTCGTAGCGCAGCGCGCTAACCACTCCGCCACCGCTCCCCACTGTGCAAGGGTGTCCAGTGACACACATACACACACCAAGCAAACACTCACTTGAGTGTATAAACGATTCTAGATTTGAAGCTTTCGTAACTGCAAGGATTCATATTCTTAGGTTTTTTCGGTAAAAGTCACGTAGGTAAAACATTTAAATTAATAAAACATCATATACGGAGTGGTAGCTCTTGTAATCTCTCATTTACTTGATACAGCTGTCGTGGCTGTGACGGTTCCACCTGAAGACGGAAGCTTGTGTTGCCTCCGAAACGTCGTGATTTTTTTTATTTTACTTTTATTAATTTTAATGTTTTACCTACGTGACTTTACCGAAAAAACCCAATAATATGTATAAACGATGGGCATGACGGTTTCAGGAGATCCGTGTGCATATGCGGCGCTCGGTACTGACAACAGAGTCCCATTGTTTTTGGCAATAGCAATGTCCCTCCAGCTGACAACCATATCTACTGCTGCGTGCATCTACCGCCGCATTACAGGAGCGCTGCGGGTAGCTACGGACGCGTGGCCTGTAGCCCAGCACTGTGGAGACAACAGCGAGGGTTGATGGGTCACACACAGATGGGTTGAAAGGCTCTTTCCGCGAGACGTCGGCAGTACAGCAAGTGGAAGGATCGCCATTTGCGTGTTCCATCTTGTCGGGGATATAGCGTTGCCCCGTCGCGCGAGGCGTGGAGTTTCTACCCCGGTGCTCCAGTTTCCTTCTGCGGGCATAAACAACGAATTAATTTGGCTGGAGACATATTCTTTTAACGCAATGCAAGCGGCAGGACCCTGTTATCTAGGAAACCGTGGCTTTCCTAGATAACAAACACAAAACATTGCAGGAGCAACGCACGTACATTAGACAGCGCGGTGCCGTGGGATGTAATGCGCACCAACCTACTTAGCATGGGGAAACGTTGAGAAATGTATATATATTTTTAAAAACTCAATCATGTAAATCGTGATAATTGGTTCTTTACCCTTCTATCTGGCAACAAAACTGACACCTTTTTGCAAGGAGTCATGTTTGCATAGACCGCAATACCTGCAGTCATAAATACAAACAAAAGAACATAACTCTGATAATGTGCACTGTCCTTGAAGTTGATTGGTCCACACCCGAGACAGCTTTCCTTCGAGCCTAGTCTCATATGGGTTGGACCAGATGACGCCAAAAGGCGCACAACTCAAGGACAATGCACCATCAGAGTATGAGAGCTCGGGGCAAGCATCTACACTATGGGGACCTCATTTGCCAGTAAAAATATGATAATTGGTTCTTTACCCTTCTATCTGGCAACAAAACTGACACCTTTTTGCAAGGAGTCATGTTTGCATAGACCGCAATACCTGCAGTCATAAATACAAACAAAAGAACATAACTCTGATAATGTGCACTGTCCTTGAAGTTGATTGGTCCACACCCGAGACAGCTTTCCTTCGAGCCTAGTCTCATATGGGTTGGACCAGATGACGCCAAAAGGCGCACAACTCAAGGACAATGCACCATCAGAGTATGAGAGCTCGGGGCAAGCATCTACACTATGGGGACCTCATTTGCCAGTAAAAAAATATGATAATTGGTTCTTTACCCTTCTATCTGGCAACAAAACTGACACCTTTTTGCAAGGAGTCATGTTTGCATAGACCGCAATACCTGCAGTCATAAATACAAACAAAAGAACATAACTCTGATAATGTGCACTGTCCTTGAAGTTGATTGGTCCACACCCGAGACAGCTTTCCTTCGAGCCTAGTCTCATATGGGTTGGACCAGATGACGCCAAAAGGCGCACAACTCAAGGACAATGCACCATCAGAGTATGAGAGCTCGGGGCAAGCATCTACACTATGGGGACCTCATTTGCCAGTAAAAATATGATAATTGGTTCTTTACCCTTCTATCTGGCAACAAAACTGACACCTTTTTGCAAGGAGTCATGTTTGCATAGACCGCAATACCTGCAGTCATAAATACAAACAAAAGAACATAACTCTGATAATGTGCACTGTCCTTGAAGTTGATTGGTCCACACCCGAGACAGCTTTCCTTCGAGCCTAGTCTCATATGGGTTGGACCAGATGACGCCAAAAGGCGCACAACTCAAGGACAATGCACCATCAGAGTATGAGAGCTCGGGGCAAGCATCTACACTATGGGGACCTCATTTGCCAGTAAAAATATGATAATTGGTTCTTTACCCTTCTATCTGGCAACAAAACTGACACCTTTTTGCAAGGAGTCATGTTTGCATAGACCGCAATACCTGCAGTCATAAATACAAACAAAAGAACATAACTCTGATAATGTGCACTGTCCTTGAAGTTGATTGGTCCACACCCGAGACAGCTTTCCTTCGAGCCTAGTCTCATATGGGTTGGACCAGATGACGCCAAAAGGCGCACAACTCAAGGACAATGCACCATCAGAGTATGAGAGCTCGGGGCAAGCATCTACACTATGGGGACCTCATTTGCCAGTAAAAATATGATAATTGGTTCTTTACCCTTCTATCTGGCAACAAAACTGACACCTTTTTGCAAGGAGTCATGTTTGCATAGACCGCAATACCTGCAGTCATAAATACAAACAAAAGAACATAACTCTGATAATGTGCACTGTCCTTGAAGTTGATTGGTCCACACCCGAGACAGCTTTCCTTCGAGCCTAGTCTCATATGGGTTGGACCAGATG